AGTGCCGCTCCCACTGGCCAGCTCCCCCCCAGCCACCTCTGCCTCCTGCCAGCCGGTTCCCCGCCCATATACCCCAGCCAGCCCTGCTTCCCATCGGCCAGTCCTCCACTCCCGTTCTGAGATCATGTGTGTCTGGTATTTTTTTGAAACCCATCTGGTAACCCTACTCCTCACACGATTTGCCTTTCCGTGGCCCAAAGAGTGCCGCTCCCACTGGCCAGCTCCCCCCCAGCCACCTCTGCCTCCTGCCAGCCGGTTCCCCGCCCATATACCCCAGCCAGCCCTGCTTCCCATCGGCCAGTCCTCCACTCCCGTTCTGAGATCATGTGTGTCTGGTATTTTTTTGAAACCCATCTGGTAACCCTACTCCTCACACGATTTGCCTTTCCGTGGCCCAAAGGAACACTCCTTACCACAAGTACATAGTCCTTAGCACATGATCTTGAGTATCCCTGAGACAACGTCTGACAATCAAAAGGAACACTGCTGAATTATGTGATTGTTTATGTGAACACGTTTATTTAGTTTAATACTACCATGCACTGCAAAGACACTCTCTGAAGGTCTCAGAGAACTTTCCAAACATGACTGCAGTTACACACATGGCTGTTGCTCAAGTTAAGTATTAATATTCCCAATTTACAGATAGAGCAGCAAAAAGTTAAATAACTTGCCCAACACTACAAAGAAAGCTTGTGACAGAACCAGACTGACCTTCCTTCCCCCCGACCAGTAGATATGTGCTTTAACCACCGCACCATATTTTGTTTCCCTAAATACCACTTTGTGGAACTACAGTCTTCATTTTGAACGAAACAGCAATCAACAGTCTGTATTCAGTCTCAAAATAAAGGATTCGCCTTATAGAGTGTGTCTGCCATGAAAAGTACCAATGTGAAAATGGAACCTTTTTTCTCAACAGATCTTCTACCTTTGAGTATGCAGTGGTATTATCCATCCCAAGCTCTCCACAAGCATGAGTCAGGCCCGTGGGTGTTCCAGCTCCTGAGCATCCATGGAGTCAGTGCCTATGCATGGAGCACATTTTCCAGCTTTTGTCTGCAACCAGGAGGACTAGAAACATGGTTATTTTTTTTAAATGTAAGCTAAAAAAGTCTCACGTAATCACTTGACAGAGGGAGCTGAGCTTTAAGAAAATATTGTGAAACTCACAATAAAATTGCAAGAGCTGGCAACACAGTGTGTCAAGAGTCACACCTCCTTTTTGTATCAAGAGTAACATTTTATGGTTGTCAGGCCTCTGGATATAACACAGAAGAGAGTGTGAATTGGATCTTTTCCTGGCAACAATAACAGAATATGCAACCCCAGCATTCTCAGATTATGTGCTCAGGCACACCTGTGAAATTACGCAGGTGGAACCCAGAGCGTAATTCTTGGCCAGATGTTCGAAAGAGAGCAGGCTTTGGCCTGCAGAACCATAGGTAGGTGATGTCTCAAACCAGTAAGAACATTGTTTGGTGTTCAGAACACAGGCTGAGCTTTTAGGACACTTAAACATTTTCCCCATCTTAAAAACACTGCAAATTCGATTTGGAGGCCCTGAAACACAGTAAGGCCACAAACCTGCAAACATTCATTCTTCTTATGCATGGGAATAGTCCCATCAAAGTGACTTGCACATTCATGATCTTAGGGCTGTTTAATCCTCAGGATTTATACAGCAACATTTGGTTTTTAAGTCCAAGGCCAGGGAGAGAAGCAGTGGGGAGGAGACATGGATTTTTGTCTGAATCCAGAGCAGGGCAACCTGGCTAGAAGGTCCCAGGAAAATCTAGAAACAGGGTGCAGCAGTTATTAGCCACACTCAGTAGTTGTTTTGGGAACCATAGAGACAGTTCCCAATCAGTCCAAATCATCTTGCACACCCTACACACGTTCCCCATCTGAGAGCAGGACCAATCAGACCTCAGAGAGGGGAAGGTTGTGGACACAGGAATTAAAGAAAACTCTGTGGACTCAGGAGCTGATAGATGCAGAACCAAGAGATTTGTTTGGCGTCAGGCTTGTGTCCCAAGACCATGCTGGATATAGGTGTTCGTTGTGTCTGCTCTGCACACAAGGTTAAGAAATGAGGAAAACAGCTGGATACAGCTGGGCTCCAAATAACCACATTTATTAGCTATATATAAATATACATGATCTAGCTATATATATAGTATAGGTCTAGTAGGCTGCTCTGTTTCCTATTGCACTAACCACTAGCACTTAAACAGAGCAGCTATGTATATACACTGCTGCTCTGGCAAGTGCCAGAAGTTAATGCAATAGAAGACAAAGAGGACTACTAGAGTCCTCTTCAAGGGATATTGCCTGATTTCTACACAGTGCAGAGTTACTCTCACTTTACATATTAGGGATGCCCTCAGTTAAAGTAATGAATGATTCCCCACAGTCTTTCATCATGGATCTAGAAAAAGACATGCAGGGGAGCATTTGTCACACCTTGAGGCTACAGAGTTTATGGAAATAACACTTAGCTTTTAGCTAACTACATTCTATTAAGATTATGTCTCGGTTAAAGAGAAAAGAACTAGAGCTCAGGGAGGTAAGGATCTGTAGATCTGTATCTGATTTAGTTGCTCTTTTGGGGATAAAACAGTGCCCTGTACACTAGAGTTACAGCCTTATAGCTGTAGCCCCTCCTGTTCGCCAGCCCAATAAAAGGCTATTCAACATAGGGGAAGCCTTGTGACTTTGTACACAACTCCGGGAAGCTGGGCCTAAGGCTCCTTTGTGTGCTCTGTGTTGTGTGTCAGGGTGCATCTACACTGTACCTGTAGCTCGAAATAAGCTATGCAATTTGAGCTATGCAAATTGTGTGTAGTTTATATCAAGTTAATTTTGAAATAGCTTATTTTGAAATTTGGCGCTGTCTACACAGCGATAAATTTCAAAACAGAGCACTATTTCAAAACATCCCTTACTCCTCGTGGAACGAGGTTTACAGGGACGTCAGAATAGTGAGCCCATTATATTTAAAATTATGGGCTTGCTCAAAAGGTGTGGAATAGCTATTTCGGGTCACCAGAAGTATCCTGAAATAGTTCCGCAGTGTAGATGTAGCCTCAGTGTTTGTGCACCTCAGACCAGACCCTCTCAGACAAACCACCAGGAACAGGCTTTATTCTATAAAGGACACAGAACAGGATTACAGTTAAGCAGCCTTCTTTCTGCTTGCAGCTCAGTCAGTGCTAAGACCCTGCTGGGAAGGAGGAGGGGACATCCTGGCAGGAACCAGGAAGTTCTCTCAACATGCCGCAATTTGTAGTCCACAACTTGTAGTTTTCAGGGCTACTGCTGAAGCACACTGGACCTTGGGCTACATGGACAGCTACAGGAAATGGATATTTGATATGCTGACCCTGGTACCTATACCACTTGGGATATAGGCCACAGATTGTCTGTTACCAGCTGC